TCTGTGGGAGGGAGGCAGAGGGAGAAGTGGGGAGGGATTGCGTTCCTGTCTACCAACGTACATAGGCAAGTAACTTTATTAGGTAAGACAAGCTGGGGGTGCCCAGCCACACCTGGGCAAGGTGTGAGGCAACAGTGCCGTTTATTTTTACATTGAATCAAAATATTACAAATGCATTTGTACATATTTAATGGTGACTTTTTTATTTAAGGCTGCCAGTCCCCCAGCTCATTTGCTGCATTATGGGCATTTCCTATGCAGGGATAGGGCCCAGGGTATCACTGGGAACCACCCAGTTCATTGTTGCTGGCTTCATATTCCATCTGCTCTTGAATGACCAACTGTGGCCATACTGCATTACCTTGGTTGCATAGCTTCTTGTGCCATATGGATCTGAAAGCCCACATAACACAAACAAATCTATAAGGATTGCAAAACAGTGAAAAACATATTCATAATCCAACCTCTGAAAGTTTGACTTCATAAAATCAGCAGAATCCATGAAGATTTATGTTGCAGACATTCTCAAGCTTATTTCCTCCTAGTATTTCAGCATGCAGCTGACCCCAGAGAACAGATATTCCTTTTGAAATGCATAGGGTTTGTTAGAACATATAAGTAATCATTTTCAAAACAACTAACTTGTTCTTCCTTGAATAATCCTTAGTGGCCTGAGATTAAAATCCCATCCAGGCAATGGTTTTCACAGGCTTCACTTGTGATTCATGTCTGCTCATGCCACTCATATTTCTGAAACCCACACAATGACAGAAGGTTAGACTAAAAGCCACATGTTTTCTTCTTTCAAGAACTAACCTCAACATGCAAGATGGCTAAGATCTTCTTGTGACAAAGTACCTTCATATCTTCCCAAGAGACTTGTAATTCTAAAATTGCATACTCCAAAAGGTTAGACAAAAAATAACAATACTTTTCTCAAAAACTAACCTGTGGAGTTTTGAAGATTCTGGAAGTAGAGTAGGAATGTTGGTGCGCCAGTTTTCAAGGACAGCTTGACTTCATTATGTAGCAGTGCACATGATCCAGATCTTTGCAGGAATGTTTTCTGAAATCATGGATTCCAAAAAAGTTGAATTAAAAAATCAAGACATTCTCTTCAGGAGCTAACTTTTGAAATTTGAAGATTCCCTTATTGGAGTAGAGATGAGGATACTCCAGTCTGCAAGACAGCTTGTTTTCATAAGGTAGCAGAGCAGACATGATCCAGATCTTCCCAGGGAACTTGTTCTGTAATAATGCATTTTCAAGAAGGTGAATTAGAAATTCAAGATAATTTTTCAAGAACTAACCTTGTTGTGTTGAAGAATCCATGATGAGTGAAGAGATGAACTAACTCCAGTCTGACTTAGCTTGAACAGCTGCATTGATTCTCAGTTTTTTTTTTAAATCTAGAACATGGAATGAAATGAAATCAAAACACTGCAAACTATTAAATTTCTTTCCAACCAACCTTATTGTGAAGCAGATTTTTGGAAATTTACACATGAAAAATGGAGGACAGGTGGACCAAATTTGCCAATGGATGTATTAGCCACAGAATTCTTCTCCAGAATTGACAGCAAGCAGATTTCTGAAGGTTGAGGGTTTAAAAAAAGGTCAAATTCTGAAAGAAAGTCACATTTTCTACAATACATACCTTGTGATTTTACCTTGAAGATCTCCAGAGCAGTATTGTCAACAAATGAGTTAACAAATGTGACCAGGCACTGAAATTTACACCCCTCAAGCATGTGAGACTTACTTGAGCCACCTTTCAAGGAATAAGTCCTCTACACCGTGGCAGTCCTAGATGCAGTACTCAAGGAGGTGAACATCAGATCCTAGATCTTGCTCAAAAGTATTGTGGCCTTTTATTGGCATTATGAGAGGCATTAAATGACCTCCTTGAACACAATATTCTTTGTGTAGGCCCCTGTCTCATCTTCATGTGCAGAGTTACCCAAAACAATTTTGATTTTTGCTTTGGATGTGCACCTTGATAGTGCCACATACATGTGCCCATGTGAAAACACTGGTTCACACAAGTAAATGCCCAAGTGTTCCACAGATTGCCCTTGTGACTTATTAATTGTCATGGCAAAAGCAATTTGAACAGGGAATTGCCTTCTCTTCAATTTAAAGGGCATCCGCTCATCATCACTAATGAGGGTTATCCTTGGAATAAACACCCTCTCTCCTTTGTGGGCACCAGTCAAGATTTTTGCATCAATGCAATTCCTAGTCAGCTGGCAAATTTGTAGCCTGGTACCATTGCATAAACCTTGGTCTCCATTGATGTTTCTCATCAACATTATTGGAGCTCCCACTCTCAGAGTCAGTAGGTGTGGGGGCATCCCAGAAGGGTTAATGCCATTGAGGATTTCAGGTTGATGTAAAGTTTCATCTTGCCCTTCATGTTCTTCAACACCATCAATTGATCTATAAACATGGTCAATCCCAGGCAACATGCTCATGACTTTTCTGTTGATTTCATTAACATCACTCAAGAGTGGAGCAAGAATTGCTCTGGAATGGAAGTAATCTTGATCCATGTACCTTTCTGTGATGTTACCATACACATGCCTGATGATGGCATCAGAGTTTGTCTCTCCATCATCTGGTTTGAGGATGAAGTCTCTTGGGAGCTTCATGAAATTTGCCCCAAGTTCAGGTTTGACTTCATGTCTTCCTTCACCAACTTCCAACAGAAATCTTGAAAATTGAAGATTTTCTTCATTAGCAAGAGGATCTTCAGAGGTTTGAAGCCTCAAGTTCTTCTCCAGTTTGAGGATTTTGAAATGATGCCAAAGATTGGATCGCTTTAGGCAAGCAGCCACAATTTGTCCATCAGATCCTCTTGGAATTACTGGAAGAATTTGGCGGAAGTCACCAGTTAACAACATGACTTTCCCACCAAATGGAACTTCAACCCCTGTTATGTCTTGTACTTTAGGCAAGCAGCCACAATTTGTCCATCAGATCCTCTTGGAATTACTGGAAGAATTTGGCGGAAGTCACCAGTTAACAACATGACTTTCCCACCAAATGGAACTTGAACCCCTGTTATGTCTTGTAGGGTTCTGTCAATGGCCTCCAAAGCAAATCTATGTGCCATTGGGGCTTCATCCCAGATGATCAAATCAGTCCTCAGCAGCAACTCTGCAAGATGGCACTGCTTTGAAACTGCACAGGTAGAAGTTTCTGTGAGTTTCAGTGGAAGTCTGAACCTTGAGTGGACAGTACGCCCTCCAAGCAAAAGCAGTGATGCTATCCCACTGGATGCAACTGCCAAGACAATCTTCCCTTGAAGCCTCAAGGAAGCCATGATGTGACCAAGGACAAATGATTTCCCAGATCCTCCAGGTCCATCCAAGAAGAAGACACGCTGACTGCTTGCTTCATTGGTTGCAGCATGACATACCTTGTCAAAGATTAATTGCTGCTCAGGTGTCATTAGGCTTGCATTTGCACATATCCCCTGTAGTTGTTGATGGTCATATGAAATCTCATGCACCAGGGCATAATTTATGCCCAGCTCTGGTTGAAGATTGTCAAAGTCACTCAACTGGGGAAGTGCAGGGTAGTTTGCCAATGATTTGTTATTGCTGCAAAGGATGCTGTTGATGGATTGCACTGTTAGCAGAACAATCATTGGATGGTTGCTGTCAACTTGGTGTCTGCGCTGAAAATCCTCTGACATGGGACCAATGTTTGCATCCCATAAAGCACGCACATCAGAAGGTTGGCAGTACACCAAAATGGTATTAGCAGAACAATCATTGGATGGTTGCTGTCAACGTGGTGTCTGCGCTGAAAATCCTCTGACATGGGACCAATGTTTGCATCCCATAAAGCACGAACATCAGAAGGTTGGCAGTACACCAAAATGGTGGAGAAGAGGTACCACAGCTGAACAGGCATCTGGAACTGCACTGCCTCTGATAAGCAGTTGATCCACTCTGTATCATCAGCAAGCAGGCCAGCAGCTCTTGCAGCATCCTTGTAGGAAGCATATTCAACACCGCCAATTGTGCGGATATGCTTGAATCCCTCAGGTCCATGAATGTAACACAGCAACATCCTGAGGTGATATCGCTCAATATCCATTGGTGAGCAAGAGACCATTCTCCCAAGGGTCTGAGCACCTCCTTGCTCCCTGGGTTTCCACAGTTTCCCTCTTGGCACCCATACAAAGTGGAGAGGAACATCCTGATACAGGATCCTCTTGGCCACCTCATTCCCTTGTGCACAAAGTTCAAAGTACCTTGTGAGCATAGTATGCTGTCCTCTTTCAAGCACTTCATCCCTGCTCTCATCTGGCCTGAAGGACACATATTGCATCTTTTCAAGGTGAACTTGAAGGTGCACGATTGTGTGGGATCTGTCTTGGATGGGGAAGTCAAAGATCCTCCAGCATGCCTCTACACTTGACACATACCTTGCATCCAAAAATTGCTGGATCTCATCAACATTCCCATCTTCATTCTTCGTGATAGCCACTCTTGCTCTATCTGCACCCTTGTACACATATTTGTACAGGTATTTAACTGATGCAATAGTGGAAGCTATCTCAACATTGATGTGGCAGTTGTACTTGAGTAATAGGAATGGGTTGTAGTCCACTACCCATCTATTATCAAGTGCCACATTTTTCTTGGTCACTGAACGACCATCCTCACGACGCCTCATCTGAGGATATCCCTTGTGGTCTGTCTGTGTCTCATTCCGAAATCCTTTTGGGAAGTATTTGGAACACTTTCCATCCTTCATGCATGGAGCATTTTTGTTGAATGCTCCACATGGCCCATGCATCATGTGCTGGGCAACAGCATCACGTAGATCAGGATTCTTAGCTGCATCAGGAATCTCACCACAGACAAATTTGTCGTAGTCTGTGGTTGAACTTGGGCTGAAATCCTGTGCCAATTTCACCAATAGATGAGCATGTGGGAGGCCCCTCTTCTGGTATTCAATGACATACATGAATGCCAGCACTTTCCCAAAAATCTCATTTTTCTTAATGTCTTCCATGATTGCTCTGAGCTTGAGGTTGAAGACACGGGCAATCAGATCTGGACGGTCTGAAGGTGCCTGATTGGCCAAGAGATTCTCCTTAATCTCTGTCCATCTTGGGTTGCAAGTGATTGTTATGAAGAGATCAGGCTTGCCAACCTTACGGACAATGGCCATGCCATCATAATAGTGCTGCTTCATGTACCTCTCACTGCCAGTGAAATTTGCTGGGAGTATCACTCTACCAACTTGTCCCAATGAGTGGTCATCCCACGTCATGTCCTGGATTCCCTCCAGCACCTCCACTCGGTGCAACTGTTGCTTGATTCTAACAAATCTCATTCGTGCAGCCTCAATTTTGGCATATTGGTCTACAACATATTGCAGCAACAGCCTTGCACTTTTCAGGATGAGAGAAATTAATGTCCGTATCATCAGCCGGTATGCATAGTACTCTCGTGCAGTAACACTTGATGTTCTGTAACGCACAGCACTATTAGCATATTTGACATCTGGACACCATCCCAATTCCCCATGTGGAAATAACAATGGGTACTGCAGGGGATCATACTGTGCCCAGGTCTCAAAGATTCTTAAAAGGCCCCCTCCTTGGCGCCTCAGAATCAGGTCTCTTCCCCCTTCTTGGGCACCACCATCAACAATCAAGGCTGCCACTTCATCTGCTGTGGGCCTATTGTATCTGCGAAGATCAGTGTTGACATGCTCCAAGATCTTGAGGCTAAACTCTTCATTTTGCCTCAGGTGCATCCCAGCAGACTTGAAGAGTGCCACAAATGGGTTAACACTCTGCAGCATTGCCTCAATCTCCAGCACAGACCTCCTGTCCAGCCGGTCCATGATTGAGCATCTCCGGTCAGCCAGATTCTCCATGTCAGTGTCATGGATGTAAATCTGGGCAAATGCTGGAGCACAACCCTCAGGTGGGAGTAATGCACCCATCCTGTGGCAAACAGTTCCCTGGATCCTGAAGGTGTAAACACCATTCCGTCCATTTGCAAGGTCTTGGTCCACTTGAAGCCTTTCTGTCACAGAAGCTCCCAGTGATGTAAAGGCAAAGACCATGTTGTAGGCCCGGATATTCTTTAGGAAATGAGGATTTCCATACAGGTTTTCCAGAGCAGCTGGTGGTGGATCAAATTCAGGCAGCTGAATTTTCCCCTCTGCACAGCAGAATCCTTTTGATTCCTGCATCCATTTCAGGGCACCACAATGGGGACAGGAAACATTCATGGGACCCAATGTGTGCCTGAAGTTGCTGACTTCCCCATACCTTGCTTGGTCAAATTCTTCCCATTCCGGCATAAGAGCAGAACAAAGGGTTCCCAAGCAAATGGTTCTAGTAGAAGCCACTGATGCTCGATGATTTGCTGAATTTCTTTGGGCTTGTTCCTGAGTGATTTCCCTTTGTTGGTCATCCATGGCTGCTTGTCGGTCAGCCACACGAATCCTGTCTTGAGATTGAACCTGCTCCCTTTGTGTGGTTGTCATTGCAGCACGGCGGTTTGCTACCTGAATCCTGTTATGAGCGCGAGCCAGCTCTCTCTCCTGATCAGTCATTGCAGCTCTACGGTTGGCTGAACGAATCCTATTTTGAGCGCGAGCTTCCTCTCTGGCTCTGTCACTCATTGCAGCTCGATGATTTGCAGAATGTTGCCTGGCAGACTCACGGCGAAGGACCACTCTGATTTCTTGCAGCCTTCGAGATTCCTCATCAGTGAGTTGTCTCAGTCGAGATGCAAGCCGTAACTCTTCCCTTTCATGTCTCATTGATTCCCAGAGCTCCATCATATGCTATTCAAGTACTCAGGAATTTTCCCTGGAAAAGATGGAACTGAATCTTAATCATCATTGAAGATAACTTACGTCCATGTAGATGAACTGATATTTGCATAAATGAAACACTGCATTAGAGTAAGGAGATATGCAACAACTGAAAACATCAGAGATCTACAGAATTCTTGTAGATGTCATGCTAATCATTTCCTGAACTATTAAATGATGTGCATCAGGTTCCTTCCACAAATGCATCATAGAAAATGTGTAGACTATTCTTAGTGTGGTGAAAAAGTCAAACCTTCACCTTGGTCCATTTTCTTATAAGAGTAGGTACTGCTTTCATAGTTGGCAGTGGTGCCAGGATTCCTTTACATGCTATAGCTTTTTTGTTCAACAGAATGTCCTCAAAGTAACATGTGAGAAACTTATTTTGATTCAAAAATCCATTAGCTAAGCAATACCCATGAATGATGCAATCTTATGGATCTGATTCTCAGCTTATCTGTGCCCCCAATAAATGCCAAATTGCACTTAGGAAAGTATGCATCTTTTCAGGGTTTGTTGTTCTGCATGACCTTTCCTGAATTTTGACTTTTCCTGAAGTGTTGAATCCAATGAAAAATGCTTTCAGCAAAACAACGCATCCTAAGTATTCAAAAACACAGCCAGATTCAAAAACATAGTTGGAGCTTTTGTAGATTTTCAGAGCTCAGCATGGAAAATTCAGAAGAGTGATTCAGCACTTTGAGTAACTCAAGACTCCTCAAATCCACTCCAAATAAAAGTGCAAAGCAAAACTTTAATTGCAAGCACCTGCACATAGAGTCAAGAACTTTAAGGTCCAAATAGATTGGGACCTCTATGAAAGAGCCTTTTTTACAAAAAGTTTGCACCAAGCAATTTTTCAGAGGAAAATATAAGGGATATTAACCAAAATGTACAGTGAAATTTTTCAGATGAGGACACCCAGAATCAGTATTGTTTTCATTGAGGAAAAATCTGGGTTTATATGTACCTAAATCAATGCTGACATTTTAAAATAAGTGCTAATGTTTTAAACTGAAGGAAAAATGCATTAAAATTTTACTGCTGACAATTCCAGCTCACCATGCAACCAAATATAGCTGATTCCATGGTTTTGTGTACATGATGAATGTTAGGTGACTAAAATTCAACATGTTGATGAAAAGGATGACTGCAAGAAAACTTGTAATCACATCCAAATTACATGGCTGGCCTAATACTGGTGATTTCCCTCACCAGTATTTCCTTTGCACAAAATTAATTTCACTTCATAAAATTTATTATTTTAAAATCAGGTCTATCTATTGGTCAAAACCTACAAAAAAGAAACATTTCCATTGTTTCTTCTTGAAAATGCAATGTCCTGGACAGAAACTGTAACCATACTCCAATGACTCCAAAGAAACAGCACTTTTGCTCCATGAATCATGTTAGCAGATGGCAGTTGGCAACTTAGTCAAGTTTTTGAGGGCATTTAAAATTGATGGCAAACAAAATCCTGGTGGCTGCTGAGGGCACACCTAAGTGGGAGGCACCAGAATGACATTTTTGGGGAATTTTAAATCCTCTCAGTATGCTTTTGACATAGGATCTTGGGTTGAATTTAAGTAACCATAAAAAGAAAGCATATTGAAAATTGACCACACTTGCAATGTCATTCATGTAATGGATTCTCCAGTTTTGAAAAGCAATTAGTCTGCGCCAGAAAAGCAGGGTATACTCATTTTCTGATGAGAGATATACTGATTGGCCCTCACATTTTATTATTCAAAAAATATATTGAACTCACCAACACCACTGAAAGCAGAAGGAAGACACTCCAAAATTCTTCAGGGGTTCAGCCCAGATCCTTCCCTGTATGGTTGAAGGGGGGGGGGGGGTGGGGGAAATGCTAATGCATAAGATATTTTCAAAAATTTCAATATACAAATATACAAATACAAATTCATTGAGTTTGAATATATTTGCCCCATTGAGATAAATTTGAAAGTGATTGATTCCAAATATTCAGCATAATAAGCCAGAATTTTTTAAAGGGTATAGTAAGAAAGCAGTTGCATGGCTTTAATATCAGTGAGTTGAAAAAAGCCAGGAATTTAAAGCAACTTGAAAGAAGTGTGGAGCTAGTTTCTGGTGAAAGCTAGGCTGATTGGCCCAAAAAATGAAGTATTCAAATATATTTTACTCACAGACACAGCAGGAATAAGATAGCCTAAATCCCTGAAATTCTCTGCTCCTTCAGCTCAGATCCTCTCCTGGTGGTTTAAAAAAAAAAAACGTGGGGCATCAAGTTTTTGTCTTGCTCAGGTTGCTGGGAAGCGTGAAGAGGGATGTGATTCACTCACCAGATGAAATAATTCAATACTTCTGCAACTGCCAGAGTTTGCTGGCACAAAAGCCTGCAGAACTCAAAAATTGAAAAATAGGGGATGGATGGAATTTTCAACGCACAGTAGTTTGTTGTGATACACTGGAAAAAGAGTGGCAAAAAATAAACACAATCAGTCAAAACGACACAGGATACAAAATCGAAGTAAATTTTATATTGGTTTCATGCACTTGTCCATGGTAATGGCCAGAGCAAGAATGAAAATCGAACCAAGAGAAATATATGCCAAGCATTAGGACACACACCAGAAGTACAGGATTAACACTGATTCAACATTCATTTGGTCAGGGCGTACAATGAATCAGATTATGATGTACAGATGTGCTGATGATCAGGGTGTACTGGAGTCACTGAGGAAAGAAAGTCCTGATCTCCCAGAGAATGGAAGAGGGCAGGGCTGCGTCTTCCACGTCAGGGGAGAGCAACGGATTTTCTGGCGCCGCTGGGGTCCATGGTAAACGGAAGTGCAAAACGTTGCAACTGGGTTGCCATGTAGGTCACGCCAGCAACCCTTCAAACTCGTGTCAACCCTTCCAAAACATACTGGGCTTACTTGTAAGGAAGCAGTTTGGGTGTACATCTTTTTCAGCAATGACATACACCGAAAAAAACGTGACAACTCCGCGAATGATTATACACGGTTTTTCTGTTTCTGGCTGCTTTTCTTTTCTTTCAAAAAATCCATCTGCCTGTAAAAGGGAAACATTTTGCGTTTTTGCACATATCTGCATCAATTTTGAACATTTTCAAAAGTTAAAAAGCAAAATATGCAAAACTTCATCTCGCATCTAATACAATTTCAAATTCAGAGTTAAATTGAGAATTTCATTTTTGACCAATTTTGCAATCACGAAAGTCGGGAAACGAAAAATGTCGGAGTTTCCACTTTAACTCATCATAACTTTGCATCTAATGAACCAATTTCAATTTTAAGAAAAGATTTGAATGCGCGCTGAAGTTCTACGATTTTTAGAATTTTTTAAATTTTACAAATGTTAATAATTAACCGCGTTAAAATGCAAAACGCAAAACTTTTTCGAAAATTCACGTATGGAATTTTCCACAATTTTTTGCAGAAACGTTTTGCGTTTTTGCACGTATCTGGTTCAATTTTCAACATTTTCAAAAGTTTAAAAAAGCAAAATTTGCAAAACTTCATAGCGCATCTAACGGTATTTCAAATTTGAAATTTGATTAAGATTTGAATTTTTGACAAATTTTGCAATGAAGAAGGTCAGGAAACGAAAAATGTCCGAGTTTCCACTTTAGTTCATCATAACTTTTTATCTAATTGATCAATTTCAATTTTGAAAACGGATCTGAATGCGCGCTGAAGTTTTACGAATTTTAGTGTTTTTTAAGTTTTAAAAATATTAATAATTGGCCGAGATAACTTGGAGAAAGTCGAACTTTTTTGAAAACTTTCGTTCCTGGGGAAGCAGGGCAGCAGCATCTGCTTCCCCTGTGGGCGGTGCTTAGGGGGAGGGAGACAGAGTTAGGAAGGGAAACACTGAGGGATTGCGTTCACCCTGACGCACGGACGGAATACGCAAGTAACTTTATTAGTAAAGACAAGCTGGGGGTGCCCAGCCACACCTGGGCATTGGACACATTTTTTAGTTTTGAAAACTTTGATTCACTACAGAAATTAATATGTGGGAGAGGGGGTGCCCTCATGGAACTGTTTATAAAAAAAAGTATGATTAAAGTTGGATAACTGGTGAAGGACCACCAGTAATCTTGTACTTGTGCTCAATGTGTCAGTTGTGGCCCGGTGGGCCACAACTGGCACATGAGCAGGGGGATTTTATTACTTGTCACAATCCCAACTTGGAGTGCCCAGCCAAACATGGAAGTATAATTGTTACATGATAAAAATGAATTTTACAAAATTGAATGATGAAAGCTGGTAACATGCCAAGAACCATCAGTTTTATGCACATTGTCAGGTGTGGCTGGGCACTGTATTTGTCTAAGTTGATAAAGTTGCTACCACTTCTCAAGGTTATTGTGGTGNGTGGCTGGGCACCCTATTTGTCCAATTTGATGAAGTTGCTACCACTTCTCAAGTTTCTTGTGGTGCTCAATTCCCTTCCATCCCCTAACAGAATTGAAACATTTTCACTTTAGCTCCTTGCCAATTTTGAATGATTCCAACTTGAAATTTTTGACAGGGCTTTGTGCACAAAGATGTTCTTAAAAATTAACTTTTTTTCAATTAGTAATGTTGAAAATTGATCAAGCTAAAAATCAGGAAGTGAAAATTGCCCCCCTCAATTTTTGAACTTTTTTCAAAAATGTTTTTGCATTTTTGTCTATAGCCCATTCAATTTTAAAGATTTTTCAAAATTGAAAATAGTGAGATTTAGAAAACATCTGGGCTCTTGCAACATTGGAGGAAATTTCATAATTGAGTTGAAATTGAATTTTAAACAGATTTTGTAATTTGGCAAAATGGGAAGAAACACATATCCAGGAATTCAAACTTTTTTGTTTAACTCATTCTAACTTTTAGGATTTTGATGAAATTTCAAACTTTTTGGCAGGGTTACATGCACACAGATGTTTAATGATTTTACATATTTTTAAGTCTGAAAAATGTTGAAAATTGAATGAGTAAAAATTCCAAGTACAAAATCTTTTTTTCCAATTTTCAAAAATGTTTTTGTGTTTTTGATTCTATCTCATGCAATTTTGAAGTTCTTCAAACATTTCAAAAAAGGAAATGTTGGAAACTTCATTGCGCAAGTAACCCTTGACACAATTTGGAAATTGCTCAATAATTCAAATTTTGACAAATTTTTAAATTTAGCAAAACTGGAAACAGAATTTTCAAAAATGTCCATTTTTTCAGTTTAGCTCATGATAACTTTTTTTTCACTACTGGAATGTAAATCATAATTTAGGGGTAAATGCGCGTGGATGTTTTGCAAATTTAAATATTTTTTTGATTGAGCAAAATTAAAAACTCAAAAAGCTAAAATTAAAAAAGTAAAAGTATGTTTTTCCCAATTCATCCCCGTTTTTGAAAAAAGTTTTGCGTTTTTCATTGTAACTTGATGAATTTTCAAGCTTTTTTAAAATTTAAAAAATGGAAATGTAGGAAACATCATGGCGCTTCTTATAAAGTTTTCAAAATTGATTTTGGTTGATAATTCAATTTTTCACAAATTTTCAAACTTTAAGAAACGGGAAACGGGACCCTCCTGCAGGCCTCTCTGGGGCTCTGTGGGAGGGAGGCAAGGGGCAGTAAGGAAGGGAGGGCGGGTGAAAATTAAAAAAACTGCGAACCGATGACGGCAAGCAACTTTATAATAGTAGATGCATAAGTGCCAGTTGACCGCATTTTGATGCATGATTAATTTTGCATGCAAGTTTTGATTTTAGTCACTGTGAACTTGACATTTCAGCCCCGGGAAATGAAAGTTTCACAAGAGCGACTGCATATAACTTGCATTTGCCCTCGAGGGGCTTTTTGGGCCTCAGCAAGCATCAGGTCAAGATATACCGCCTCAAATTCAGCCATGGAAATAAGAGTTTCACATCAAAGAACTGGCAAGGATATGCTTTTTATGATTGTGGCTCCAAGTTGAATTTCCTAAAAAAAAATTTTTATCTTGATGTACTGCAAGAGACTGCATATGAACTTGCCTTTGCCTTAAATATAGTGAGACCCCGAGATGCGGACGTAATTGGTGCATCAAGAGTGTCCCCAAGTCAAGTCTCATTTTCCCTTAGACTTAGATTATATAATTTTTAATTGGTGTTTTATGGACAAAATACTCACCATAATTCCTTGAAAATAAAAATTGTCTTTGAATTTAAACTGATTCCAAGCAATATATTTCAACACAATATGGGCATTTGGGGAATTGAATACTGACACCTCTGTACAGTACATAGAAATGGTGACATTCTCTGTAAAAAAAAAAATAATATTCAAGTGAAATAGAGAGAAGGAAGTCCCTCTCTACTGGAGGTAATTTTTTTAAATGTGCTAAATGGGTGGTCAATTGGTAAGAGAAATGCCCAAGAACTTTTCTTACATCAATTTTAGGGTTGGAAATATCTGTTCTTGCAATTTGGACTGAAATGTATGTGCAATTTTATCTCAAAATGTCCTTATGTTGAGGCAGTGTCCTCATGTCAGGCCATATTTATTGATTTTTTCTGGGAAAATAAGTGTCCCCATGTCGAATTGNGTTTGTGCGTTAATTCAATTTTTTACAAATTTTGAAAGTTTCCACCGCGGGAAACGGGACCCTCCTGCAGGCCTCTCTGGGGGCTCTGTGGGAGGGAGGTAGGGGGCAACTGGGAAGGGAAGGGTGCAAAGAAACAATCTGACCAACTTACGGAGGCAAGTAACTTTATTATGTAAGATGAATAACTTTTTTCCGCCCATAAACTGCACATCAAGAAATCATCACACCAGTAATGCAACACGAATTAAACGACTCCGTGATGTACTTTTTTCATCACTTATTCATCATCAATGCAAGCACAAAAACCACACATAACTTCCAAACGATTGTATATTTATTTTATCTTTACAGAAAATTTCCATTTAGAAATTTCTGAACCAATTGCGCAATCTCTGCAGAAAGGTGATCAAAATCCAAGTCTTATTAGTCGGTTCTGGGACTTCTGGGTCTGTTGTAGTGGCTGCGTTTAAGCATCTTTCAGCGTATTGGCAGACGAAGGAAACATGTCCATCATAACTCAAACTGCTGGCAATGGTCGTCAACTTGGTTGGTTCTGTTAAATTCGAAAGTACGGTTGTTTTCACTCCAACGATTGCTGCGATGGGGGATGCGTAATTGACGACGACTGGAGACCCAGCTACTCCCTGAAAAAAGGAATACGCATTTTTTTTCAAGAACTGTACAATATGTATCTTGAAAAAGATAGAAAAAAGTACGTATGTAAATATAATCATGAGAAACATTTTGGAAGAATATAACTACAAAAATTCATGATGTACAGTTCAAAATTTACAGAATCAAAAAATGAATCAATGAACTGAAAGAGCATTTGTGGAATGCTGTGCATCACTCATTTGTGGAAGTACAGTTGACCGTGCATGAGTCAAACCTCCCAAATTAAAAAAATTTTAAAGTCCCTGCATCAATTTCCTTAGAAACAATGTACAATATTAAAATCCTCCTTATCTTCAAAGCTTTTACTATCAAGCCTCCATAACTTCAATCCTCTGAGGCATCTTGGCAATTATTTTTTAACGCATGAAACGGATTAGCAATATAACAAGTACTGGTAGCTTATAAATGTGTTTTGAAAGAAAGTGACATAAACTGATTGGGCAAATGAACCCCTGCTTCCCAGTTCAGCATGCTATAAACTCATCTAAGAAGCAATTTGAGGCTATTCATATGACCATTTACAGTTTCCTGCCATTCTTTCATGTTTCCCACAACAAAAATGCAGGTTTCCATACCTGAAAACCTCTCTGAGTAAATTTTTTGGTTGGTATACCTTGAAATTTGACATGGAGAGATTGGACTGTCACTTCCATCCAAAACACATGAAGTTACTTGTTTGATTGCTTTTATCTTTCATGTGTCAAAAAAGAATTAGAAGAAACTTTCCAATGATTGACGTTTCAGGAAAAATTTGACGTTCTTGCCGATTCTACACACCTTCATGACAGATGTGAAAAATAATCAAACTGCAGTAGATATTTTGGGCTTCCTTCACTACAACTTACCCCAAAAGTTGACTATATCCTCATACTTCTAGAAAGAGTGGATTTCGTTTTTTTTTCTTACTTCGTCGTTCACGTTGGAGGCGCTGGAATCTTGTAATTCGAAGCACAGGGACCATTGCAGACCTAGGGATACAGAACTGCTGTTGCATTCTACGCCGACATAACTCGCGTGCTGAAGTTCAGTATCGCCTAGGAAATTGAGAGGATATGATTCAGAAATAAACGCAAAATGATTCTCCATCTGGACGAAACCCTGTATGTATATACAGTACTCACTTTCGGTGCGATTCCAGTCCAGGATCGTGACACCTTGTCCGATGTACGTGGCTCCGGCATTGTGAATAATCGGAATGGTTTTTACAGTGACACCTAAAACGGCATCTGAAGGTAGGTACAGAATCGCCGGTTGATTTTTAATCAATTGATCTATAAAAGGGTAATCAAAGTTGAAGACATAGCCCGGGTGTCGAATCACGTTCGACAGTGTAACATTGAAATCCTGCACGTTCGGTGATGTCATTGAAGTGCCACCCAGGGTGACATGAAGGCTCAATACCGTCAAACTGGAGAGTTCGAAAACTTTCGGATCGATGTACCAGCCTGTGGTGAGAACGTGTCTGTTGAGGAAACAAGAGAATCACGTCAGTCTCAAGACTATCAACTATGAACCCCACAGTAGAATTTTGAATTTACTGTACTGAAATTCATTGTGTGCCTTTTGCCAGGATACATGATGGATAAGTACTGTGTAAAATGTTGTCTATCGGATGGACGAGGAAACACTGTGTACTTACATATTGTTTTCTTCATGACGCTAAATGAATTCAAAAGGAAGCTCTTAAATTATGTTTATCGTGCTTTTTGGTTGTAAAAATTAAGAACCAATACTGAAGCAGTTATAGTGGAAAGTCTTCAAACAATTAGATGGGGCTGAAGAAAGGTTTCTCAGAATGGGAAAATTAGAATACATTTTTCTTCAGTTACAATTTTTTCTGAAGTGTTAATAGGAGAAAAGCCAACTTCTATTTTTTCATCATAAAATTTCAACTGCTGTTGTCTCTCCAACATTTCAGATAAAGAGATCAGGCTCCCTCCTCACTTTTGATAAATTAATTGTACGGAAAATTTCCCCAGTATAGTGGCCAACATTTTCTGGTGACTAGCACCATTCTGCTTACCACCAGTTGGGAACATCAAAAACCCCCAGGCAAGGGCACCGTTAGCCTGGGGAATGTTACTACTTACCTTACCAAATTCCCTTCACTGCGAATATTGAACCACTTCCCCCGTAAGGATCCCCCCAGCCTCAGATTTTTTAGCGGGCTATATACGGAACTTTGTATCCGTCCCTTTTTTAAGGGAGGGCTGGGAGTTATTATATGGGCCAGTGAAGGGAATTTGGTAAGGTAAGTAGTAACATTCCCCAGGCTAACGGTGCCCTTGCCTGGGGGTTTT